CGCAAGTCCTGGCAGCTAAGCACCGGCCTCCACATCAGCCGTCGATAATGTGTATGACGACGTGGCTGCCTGAGATTGGCATCCGGAAGTGAGATTATCCGGACCGAATATTTTTTCCAAAAAATGATACCATCTCATCAACCATTTGCTAAAAAAAATTTGCATCAGAATATACTGACCAATGAGTGTTTATGATGGGTAATATGATCATTAGATCTGTTTTGAAATGAGTGCAACATTAATTATCCATTGATCACACTCATCTCAAAGTAAATTCAAGCTTCATATGTATTTTCTACCAAATTCTAATCCAGTTATTTCGACCGAATATGTTTGTTAAATATTATTACGTGAACATCAAACTATAAAAAATAAAAATAAGAAATATATATAATCATTATTGATTTCATGACAATGTTTCTGTTAAATAAGACAGCAGTGAATCAAATCTACTCCCATCATTTGATCAATTCGTTACTGTTTGAAAAATAGATCGAATCATTATCTGCAGCTAGTCCTGATTCCCTAATTCCTGTTTCTCGACACAGTGGAATCCAGAAGAAGTGGGAAAAGATTCGTAAAAGTCAAATCAAGGTGAGAAGATGAATTACCAGTATTGGCACCAAAACAAGAGCTGCTCTACATCAATCCTGCTGCTCTCCATAAGCTTGAAGCATTCAAATCCAGGGTATGCATATCCAAGCACCAATCTGCAAGAACATAATCCAAATATTTTTCAATCGGCAACCACTCTTCTCAATCCGATTTCACAAAATTAGATAAAATAAACTATGGTTTCCTCAAATAACTAGATCTAAGAGATCGAAGAGCTCACACTAGAACTCTGGTTACAAACTCGCCTAACATCGATCAAATCTCAGCAATTCCCAAATCTGCCGGCAAGAAAACAGAGGGAAAACAGCATTAAACTCAATTGTATTAACAAATAAGTACGAAGCTTGATAAATAGTATATACCTTCAAGATTTCTTGAAATCCTTTAGGGTTTTTTATCCGCCTTTGCAGAAGAAGAAGAAGATGATGATGAAGAA